ATTTTAGATACCGGGAAAATTTAAAACAGAGTACGCAGAAGAAAAAAAAGCGTCGTCATTATTGCGCATGCGCCGAACCCAAACTACGTTTTGGATTGGCAAATAGCAACGACGTTATTTCTTTGTGCACGCTATTCTAAAACTCACTACTGTCAAGTGTCTGTGGCAGTTTCTTACGCGGGAAGTCCCTACCTTTGTGTTAAAAATAAATTAACCGGATGGCACAAGTTATCTAAATATAATCAATAAATCACTGTCGAAATGGGAGCGAACACGGTACACAATTTCTTAAACTTCATAAGTAAACCGACCAACCAAATGTTTACGTCGCAAGAAAAAAAAAAATGATTGAGAACCTTATACACCAAATGTAGAGGTGTGACATTATGAACAAACATATCGCCTGATGTTGACGTACCATTACTTCTAGCCTGAGATAAAATACAAGTTAAACGTTCATTGTCTATCTGCTCCGCGAGTTCCCTCACATAATCCAAAGAAACTGTTTTCAATATATTATGAATACAAAGAAGGATACCTCCTGGAAATACAAAGTCTTCTTGCGCTCATTCCGATCAAAATGTGTAATATAAATATACGCGCTTCTTACTGAGAATGCTCCGCTACTAGTAACAAACAAACCTGAGTTGTCATAAGGACCTTTGAACAATCGTGATGTCTTAGTCCTCGAGTAGACGTATCGGATTACAATTTCCGAAGTAAGACGAGAAAACGCGGTGAAACGCGACGAAAAACACGAATACAACGCATCCGCCAGGACGCGGAGGGGAGAGGGGAACAGCAAGTTGAAGCAACGTAATGGCTGCCGCGTCATGTGATTCCAAGATGGCAGCGCCCATGCGGAGGAGGATGAAAAGGTCTATATAAGGCAGCTTACCATCAACAAATTTCGCAGACTGCCATGGACCTAAACCTCGGCCTAGTCGATGCTAGGTTCTGTTCGGCGAGGGATGCACTGAGTAGAAAGGTGAAAAATGTGCTGTAGATTATGTGAAACAAACAAAGAAACAAACAAAAGCAATCCTAGCATGCACAATTCGCTACAGGGTTGGGTCAATTATGTTAACGCAATATACCTCAAACGCGTACCATGAGTGCTGGCAAGGTATTTGCTGTCTTCAATCTAGATAAGCTTGTAAATTTACATGCAAAATAACAAATAACTTAAAAGCTTAAATATATTTCGATGGAACTACAAGAACCGAAGACCAGCTCTGCAAATATGGTGCTATCTAGTACACCATTGATGAGTAGAATCGGATTAGAGCGTCCCCCTTACAAAGACTGAATGAAGCAAAGCAAGTATAGAGTCTGCCGTGCCACTACAACAGAAACAATGGTATTGTGATCTCATGGAGATCAGAGTTTGGAACAAGTGTGACAGTATGCCAATGTCAACAAGTATGCCAATGTCAACATTCATTTTTGTATATTTACGGTGACAGTGCAGGGAAACATTCAAACACCAGATACTCAGAAAGACAAGCACACGCACTGAACTTATAACTCCTGTGTATCGACTACTTCATTCTTCACTTCAAAGTCTGGATTGACTTTCCAGAACGGGATAAGCAGAAGAAACAGCACAAAATACAAGGAAAAAAGCGAAAGACAAGACAAAAGAAAAGGACCATTACCTCCAAACAGGGATGGGCAGTATTTCAAATACAAGTATTTAAAATACGTATTTCAAATACTTCGTGTATTTTGCATTTGTATTTAATTAAAAATTGGGTAATGTATTTGACATGTGTATTTAAATACTAAAACGTGGGTATTTCAAATACAATTGTAATTAAATACAATTTTTGGGCGAAAATACATCCCTCAAATTTATTGTCACTGTCCAGAGCAAGAAGAAAACTACCTTCTGCGCCGATTGCAGTGTCTCCCAATCAAGCACAAGCGTTTAGTGATTTTTTGATTACGGTGCTAGTCTAAGGCAAGAATAGTGACGAAATCGACGTTCACAGGCAGCCTGGCTAAATAAGTGCCTGTGACAACTTGTGATGCTTTCCAGCCTGATTTCAATCCATATTTTTGCCTGGGACATTCTAAATGCGCGGGTCGTCCAGATTTTCGTAACTGGTGCGAGTTGCAACAACAAAAAATTCTCTAGCTAGTGCTGCGCGTTTTGGTCGTCTCAGTTCTTTGTTGGTCTAAACCAAAAAGTAATCGACAAAAAAAGCTGCTTGAAGCTCTGTACTTTTTTCACCTATTACGTCCAAGCTGATTACATTTTTTGTGATTATATTTCTATTACGTTACTAGAGCCTCGTACACTAACTCCCGAGTGTGTGATGCAAAATTAAAATGAGATACCCAGAAACCTGTTGCAGGTGCCCTGAAGTCGCTGACACAAATTTTGAGGAATGTATTTGGAAAATTATTTGAAGGACACCAAATACATTTGGTTGTATTTGTATCTTGTACTTAAATGTTTTTTTTTTGTAAATGTAATTAGATTTGTAATTAAATACGTTTTTGACTAAGTATTTTGTATTTGTACTTTGATACATATTTGCATGTATTTTGCCATCCCTGCCTCCAAATAACTTTCTTAAACTTTCTAATTTCAAAAGCAAAGCACGACCAGTGACACAAGGGCATGTATCGCAGCCTAACGTATATTTTTACGCTCTGAAGAAGTGCTGTATCCCTACACGGCGCCCCCCCCCCCCCCTTTTTTTCTTCTTCTTTTCTTAATTTTTTTTATACGCTCCTATCTACTAAACACGACATCACACTGTTAAGAAACATGTGAGTAGTTGCCCAACACGAGCGTTTTGCCGGGCGAGAACCGCATTCCAAAAACGAACAGCGATCGAGCGCAAAACGTACTGTCAAACGCCGTGTTCAAAAAAAAAAAAATAATAATAATAAATGTGGGGCGCCGCGGCGCTTCCCTTTTGTTGGCGCCCAGAGCAACCGCCCAGGTCGCCCACCCCTAGGGGCGGCCCTGCACCTACGCATACGTCTGCACTGTGGCGAAGCGGAATATGAAGAATCGCTGTGGCTGGTCACCCTGAGGATGACACTTCTCAGCAATGGTCCAGTGCCCGCCGAGTGCCGACACGAATACTTAGCGGTAATAAGTAGCACGTTCAAACAGGCCTCGAAGAACACAAAATATTGTAAAAGTTCCGATGTCAGTAGTCGATAAGGAAGACTAATCAAATAGCAGCCAACGGTGTAGGCGGCTGCCACGTTGGACAACGTGCAGCTTTCAAACAATGTCGTCGGAAGACCCCGCACCAAGCGTTATTTCTTTATTTCACAATACTACCAGTTCCACAGGGGCGACTAGTGGAGCACAACGAAAGAAAAACAATGGTAGGCATGCAAGCAACCATGAACACTGGGTGAACATTATATAACACTTTGAACGATCATATTACGATACGAATTACGAAAAACTCTTTTGCCGCAATGTATTGGCGCAAATTTCTCACATTTTGGTTAAATGTAGCACGGTGAGCAGCACTCCATTGCAGTTTGCCGCAAATGGCCTTGTCAAGGTAATGGACCTTTTCCATATACCGACGGCACCAGGCGGTGGCTGCACGAACGAAAAATCGAGGAAGTGACCTACCTGTGCTACCAATCGATAATGGGAGCTACGCTACCAGTTTCTTCGCTCTCTGAGCAGCGGCGCCTGCCCAAGGCGACTTTAAAGAGGGGCGTCCGTGGCGTCCACCCAAACGTCGTGTTTTTCTTTCCGTCTACGTTCTTTTTTTGTGTAACACAATTATATATATATGCTGCAGTTGCGTGTTCTACTCGCTGATATATAGCCTCCTTCCGAATTTCCTCGATTTTTCGTTCCGACTTCCGCCGCTTGGCATCGGGCGCTCGCGCGTGCGCAGAACGCTTCTCGGAAAAGGTCCATTGCCTCCATATCCTTCTGTTTAGGGTGATGCCGTCCCTTATAGTATCTGGTGCCGTCGTAGCACTGTCAATGCTAAGTGCTCGAGGCGGAAAATGCGTTTTCACGGGCTCCGGAATAAGAAAGAAACAAAAGCGTTCGGAACAAGATGGTCAAATGTCACCACACTAAGCAAAGCGTGCATGAAAGAACCCTAACCGTGTCCGTCGGAAAATACCCCGTTAGTAGAGCAACTAACTTGCTCATAGTGACCAGAAGCCCCCTAATTATAGTCCGTTGCAACCTGAGAACGAAGGGCGAGGGTAAGACGGGCCTGGGAGGAGGAAGCAGGCGGAACGCTAAAGAGACAAGGAGGTTTCCCCCTCTCTTCTCCAGCGTTCCGTCTGCTTCCTCCTCCCCGGCCAGTGTTACCCTCGCCCTTCGTTCTTAGGTTGCAACGGACTATAGTGTTCATGATTAGTAAGAGCCCGAATTAACGCCCTCCCCCGAAAGATCGCCCTACCCATTTTTCCGGATAAATATTCAAAGGGTTAAAACGGCCGAAATATTGCCCATTCCATCGAATGAACGAAAAAGTCCTTCAATTAACGCGACTCCCTACGGGACTCCCTCAAACTCCTCTCCCAGCAGAAAAAAAAAAAAAAAACGAAAAAAAAAACGTTCTGGAATTACAATTTGGGCAGATTAGTAAGGTTTCCGCTAGCGTATCTCATTTTACCGCGGATTTTGAAAGATACTCGCTGCAATTCATTCGCGTTCCAAGTTCAATACCAAGCGTGCGACCACGTGCCACGAGACGGTGGCGCCGGGGTGCGGCCTTTGGATGAATTATTCGACAGGAATAGGGAGACGTCGCCAGTGTCGTCTGTCCGCAGCTAGCGAAGCCAGCAAAGCAACGAGATGTCCAAGACATCTTAAGGGCGAAACACATGTACGACGAAACCGTCCGATCCGACGTCCGACCGCGCAATACGACGGTCGGAGGCGAGGGTTTTCAACGCTCTCCGATGCTACGAAAACCCTCTCCCCCCAAGGTCATTCCGGCAGTCCGCACGTCGGATCGGACGGTTTCGTCGTACATGTGTTTCGCGCTTAACACAAACTGTTGCGTTGTTAGCTGCACGCATAGTTACAAAAATTGTACTCCAGGAACGAAGTTTCTCCGTTTTTCGACGCGCCCATGCCTGCAAGACCAGCGAGAGCGTTGGATTCACTGCATACGTCGTGCGAAGTAGGTGGGAAGCATGTTTGGCGCGGGTCCATATCACAAGAGCGAATGACATTTTAGCGAACGGCGACATTTGAGCGAAAGTTCGTTTTAGCGAATAACGGGGGCGCGCGTTAACCCATCCGTCGCGCTGCGCTTTACGCCGCTTCGCGGCGACAGTCTGCGGCAACTCATTACAAAAATATGAACTCGCTTGGCTCACCCGAAAACGCCGCTTCGCGGCGTCCGACTATTCGCTAACGTGTCATTCGATGAAACGTGGGCGTTCGCTAAAACGTCATTCGATCAAGTGAGTGCCTCCCGTTTGGCGCTTCCATGCCCGTGCATGTGAGTGCGGGAGCGTAATTTCCTGGACTTCTCTCGTTTTCTTCAGTGCCGACGATACTGAATGGAAGCCCACGGTATGGTCGAGAGTTTGCAGTGCGCACTTCGTTGGCGGTAAACCATCGACGAATCCCGCATCTCTGTCATATACGCCGACCATTCTTCTACCACCCTACCGCAAGCCGCTTGCGATATCTGAGGACAAGAAGTCCCGCTATGAACGGTAAGCCACACATTTCTGCCCCCCACCCCGGCGGCGGGAGAAGGTTGAATTTAGATGGTGACAAACTGCAACCTTGTCTTGATGGGGAGATATCAAGTGGGCATAGTTTTGGCAGTTGGTTCTGTTGCGCGAGAGTTCGTGCAACTGAGGTGCGTCATTGAGCAAGGACCTCGCGCTCGTAGCCATCGCCGAGGTATATCCCGAGGTAATCCCAAGGTAAAACGGAGTGTACATTAGGTCGAAATCGCTGCCGTCAGCGGTGCCGCGGCACAAATAGCAAGGTTTCAGTTCTCGCGCCTCGTCCGTGCGCGTTTCTTGCCGCTTAGATGGATGGATGGATGGATATTGGCTGTTCCCTTTATATCGGGCGGTAGCTTGCGCCACCTAGCCTTAGAATATTTCATTAAGAAATTTGTTCTTCCCTTTTTTTTTTTCTTCTTCTATTCTTTTTTCCCTTTACCTCTCTGCAACTATCACCGGGCGGGTAGAGTACTTTCCAGGAAAACCTTTGGGGGATCGGGCAAAAAAAAAAAAATTAAACACCGCCCCCCGCTTCCTCCCCCGGGCGAGGGAGTCGCCAATTTTCCTCATGTCAACCTAGGGTAACTGTAGTGAGGGTGGGCGCAACTCAAAACCTGGAGAGCGTTTGCAATTTAATGGCGGCGCCTGAGGGAGAGGATTCGAGAAAAGATATGTGCCAGTGTTGCCTGCACGAGAGCAGGCGCCCGCTCTGTTGCAACTCTGTTGCTCCATGCGCCTTTCCTCCTCTCGCCTTCCATTGCAAGCAACGAGCGCCTTGGCCAACGTTACTAAAGCACTCAGTTGGGAAACTCCCATAGAGACAGCTTTGAAAAAGTGGCCCCAATCTGTCTCCGAGCACCGAGCTAATGACGAACACAACGCCACCATTTCTCCCGCAGCGGCCACTCGAAGAAGTGCACGTGACTTGTATTTTGGCTTTAAGAACAGGTATAGCGGGAGAGGTTACAGGGTTTAAAGAAAAGTTTATTGACACTGTAAACTGCAAGACGTAAATCAGGGGTGCCACCCCCGTCTCCCCGGCGGACGCGCCGCGTTCGGCTACTGAAGTTAAAATGCACCTAGGGCGGGACGCGCTACCTGAAAGGCCCGCTGAGGCATGGTTGTATGAAAACAATACTAATTGTTCCGCAAAACCTTGCGAACTAAAGATGATAAAAACATCACGCGCCCATCATTTGGTACTAAACTCCAATAAATTTCATACAAAAAGAGTCTTTTCCGTTTGTTTTTACGCAAAAACAGGCTTTCAAAAAGCTCGAGGTGACCATAGTACAGACAAACGAAAAAGAGTGGCGCTGTTGTCGCATTTAGCTCGGTCTCGGTAGACGCCAGCGGCCCAGGTTTCGACGGCGAGTTTCCCAACTGAGTGTTTTAGTAACGTTGGCCTTGGCGCAGCCTCTCTCGTTTCCTTCTCGCTCCGAGAATAGGTGACCGGCGTTTGAGCCGGAAGTTTCGTCATCCGAAGCGAGGCACCACGTGACTTCACGCTTCCGGTTCGTCCGGTGCCGGTCGCGGTTCGTCCAGCTGCATCAAGAGCCCTTCTAGGCGTGGTGGCCGTGCTGTATTCGCGGTGAAAATGGCTTACAGTTCCGCGGTACGTTGTTCTAACGCAAGCCATAGAGGGAGTAAGATGTTCCACTTCCCGTGTAACAAAGCATGGAAGCAACGATGGGCCGTCGCTGTTAAGCGAGTGAAAGAGCGAGATGACCTGTGACAGACAAACGTCGGTGACCGTTTATGCGCGGCCAATATTGTTACATGCCAGTACAACGTGTTCTCTCTTTCTTCGGGTAGGGCCAGCGGGAAATAACGATCTCTAACAGTCTTTCGGCACCCACCAAAAGCGTCTCGATTATTCCACGAAGGGGTGAGCACTGCTTGTCGTACAAGGCATCTGCGAGAACGCGGGATGCGACCTCGCAGGCAATCAGTTCATGGCACGACGTTTCGTCAACAGGCCGTTTAATCGTTACATCGACAGCTCGGATTAACATTTTCTGTGATGAGCCGCCGCAGACTGTTCCCGGGAAGCGGCGTGGATGGGTGGTTTGCTATAATATAAATAAACAAAAGGACAGGTCAGCTTTTTGTAATATAAAGAAACAAAAGCCAATGGGCAGCACTTTCATATTGACGGATAATAAAGCAGTAGCACGACCCTGCGTAGCTCATATAAAAATCGGTGCTCGTTTGTGTATGCTTTCTTACTCGACATCATTAAAAAAAAACGTGCGGGAAGGGGGGGGGGGGGGGGGGGGGGGGTTATTGTAGTTCACGGGGGACAACTTAGTTGAAGTACCAAAAACGCGTGAGTGTTAAAAAGCAAGGATTGTCACGTAGTCAGATGTCGACGAAACTAACTTTCGCACGGAAGTGGCGTTTTAATCGCGCGAGAAAGCATACTTGCTGAGTTTGAAACGCCGTCTGTCCGACTTCTTTCCCCGTCTTGAACTTTTCATTGCCTGAAGATTTTCTTACCCAGGCTTAGGTGTTCTTACAAAGTGAGAAAAGTATGCCAGACCTCCGACCGGGCATTTCAGCTGGCCGTGTCTTACGGCTTACATTCGCGCCAATTTCAGTCGGTGATGTGATCTAACGTAACCATCAAAAATAAACAGAACTCAAATGAAAAACGCTGGCTCAAAAGGAAAACGAAACAACCAACCTGAGTTCTCATGCGAAGATCCGGAAAGCGCGGTGCGAGTGCAGCTTGCCGCCGGCCGCACTCGCTCCGCGCTTTCGTGGCCGTTCTCGATGCTTCTGCGTACCGATTAGTACTTAACATATCCGTAGAAGTAACTTGAGACGTTCAGAAGTGTGTAAGTCACCCAGCAGCAGAGGAAGGTGGCCCGGATTGATCGGGTTTCAACACCCGCACACGCTTCCGTAGCCGTCATGGGGCTGCGTCTGGCTGCGTCGGCTGCAAGCTACGAACCGGAAGTGAATATTACCCAGAGTTCTTTGAGGCTGCTGCCAAACGCCGGTCGAGCGGAGAAAGCGGAGAAAGCAAAGTTGCCAGACAAGCAGCAACGTCCAAAATGGCGGAATTTACCATTTTTCGCGTTAAAAAAAATACTTCCTATCGCAACAAAACTGGTGGCTATGGAAAAGTAATCATTTATACCTTGTGTAAATTATTCAAGCACCTTAATGGACTTTTATGACCCGAGTTAGCAAAGAAAACGACCCTTTGCCCCATAGACTCTCAGCAAAATTTAGCAATTAAATGGCGTCCATGTCCCGTGATCGCCGGTCTAGCAGTTGCACCCACCCTCACTTGAGCCTCCCTAGGTCAACCTCGTCGGTGTTCCTCCTTAAACCACACCCACTGGGGGACAGGGGTGCTATGTTGCGCTTTTTGCACTCCCAGGAGACTAGGGAGAGGGAAGTGACGTCAACGACACAGCAAACGCAGATTGGGTGTTGATTTCGTTTTCTTCTGTCAACATCCAATCTGCATTTGCCTTGTCGTTGACGTCACTTCCCTCTCCCTAGTCTCCTGGGAGTGCAAAAAGCGCAACATAGCCCTCCAGGTGTGAGACTTTCGGCCGGAGCCACGCGGGAGGGAGTCCCAATATTCCTCTGTCCCTCCTGACCCCCAGGTGTGCTAATTGTTCGTCCTTGTTTCATTTTCCCTAGACTGTATCCACCAGTTTTACAATCTCCTTTTTGTGATGGTAACCCTTTTTTTCTCCATTCCTCCATCCTCTTCTGCAAAACCGAGCGCCCCCGCCAAATCCACCGACCCCTCCAGGAGAGCAGGACGAAGCCTCGTACATTCTAAAACAAGATGTTCCATTGTTTCGTTCTCATTTTGGCAAATGGCACATAATGTATCCATTTTTTTTAATTTAGCCCTATACGTTTTGGTTCTTAAAACCCCCGTTCTAGCCTCAAATAGTAGGGAACTACCCCGTGAATTATCAAAAACCTGTTCTTTTCTTATTTCCTGCTTATGTGACCTGTAAATTGCTAAAGCTGATTTTCCTTGCATCCTACCACTCCACATTTTCCTTTCGGCTTCTTTTATGCCCTTTTTTATCGTTTTGTTCCGCTCAGTCTCCTCCCTAGATGAAAGATATTTAAATTTTAGTTTTCTCGTTCGGTTCATCCATTTTGTATTCAAACTCTTCATGTATAAATACTTGTACACCTTCCTTGCCCATCGTACGTCCTCCATTTTTGTTAGTCTTTGATCAAATTTCAATTTGCTGATTGCCTCTCTACTCTCAAGAGACGACCAGCCCATGTCCCCTTGTACCCCTTCATTTGGCGTGTTCCCATGCGCCCCCAGTGCCAACCTGCCTACACTTCTCTGTCTGACCTCCAATCCTGTCTGAACCTCTGATCGCATGCACAACAGGGAGGCACTCACTTGATCGAATGACGCTTTAGCGAACGCCCACGTTTCATCGAATGACACTTTAGCGAATAGTCGGACGCCGCGAAGCGGCGTTTTCGGGTGGGCCAAGTAGGTTCATATTTTTGTAATGAGTTGCCGCAGACTGTCGCCGCGAAGCGGCGTAAAGCGCAGCGCGACGGATGGGTTAACACGCGCCCCCGTTATTCGCTAAAACGACCATTCGCTCAAATGTCGCCGTTCGCTAAAATGTCATTCGCTCTTGTGATATGGACCCATTACAATTCCATAGTGCTCTATGCTTCATAATAGCCGAATTTCTTTTCCCCCTTTTTATTATATTTTCCTCATGTAGCTCTAAATATTTCTTTCCCTGTTTCATCCAGACCCCCAGATATTTGTACTAATCTACATAGTCTATTTCAAAGTTCTGAATTCTCAGCGGCTCCCCCTTTTCGTCATTAAAAACCATCACTCCAGATTTTTCTCTACTGAAATTCAGACCAAGCTTGTCGCCCTCTCCTCCACATATCCCAATTAGTTTGTCCAATATTTCTCGGCTATCTGCTATAAGTACGATGTCGTCTGCATACATCAG